AATTTTGCATAGAGCAAGCAGAGACAGAAGCTGTAATCATAACCTCTTAGCATGTGTGAAAGTAGAATCATAGAGCATTTTCAAAATGAGTGGATTCGGCTTAGACTTTGGTTTTGCTGGTTCCAGCCATTTTGAAGAAGCGTTCAAAACCACCTGTTCAAGCTCTGACTGGAACCAGCGAAACCAAAGTCTAAGCAAATCCACTTGTTTCGAAAATGCTCATAGTCTTCATTGTAGAAAAGATGTTTTTACTTTCTGAAATGAGGAATCCTGCCTCATCCTAGCTGGAGATACTGTTCTTGACCTCCTGTCTCCCGCTGACCTCATAGCTCACCCATGGGGAAGGTGTAACAGGTGCACTTTAGGTTTACCAACAGGTCCATTGGGTATTCAATTTTAATCTGTTTTTGATGAGTAACAACAACCTCTTTCATAATGGGGCACCACTTGGGCTGTGTTGTGTGTAATAAAGCTGCAGTTACCTTGCAGATTTGTGGAGCGTCCAGCCAAGGAATGAGTCCAGATCCTTACCACCTGATTTCTTCGTCTTCTGACCCAAGACTTTCAGTCTCCTAACTTCCTGCTGACGTAACTTTGTCTCAAACTTGTAAGGAAGAGGTACAGGGTCAAGGAAGTCTTAAATCATGTGAATTAGGTTTTTCTCTTTCCGTATACCCGAACGTTTTGTAGACCTGCCTTATTTGAAATAAAACCCCAATTTCACAATGTTGGTCAAATTCAGTTTAGAAAATGGCAAATCAGAGGAGTAGTTTTAAAGTAGATACTGTTTCAGTTGAACTTATACCCCATAGGAGGGGCAAACTAGGCCAAATGTTCCAAGAATTCTACTTGCATTTATGGATCCCACCCCTGATAAGTATCCTTTCTGTTAATACAACCCCTCCCCCCTTCCAATGATTGACCCTGCCCAGACAGATGGCCTCCTTGTATCAGTCATCAGGGCTTGGTTGGATAAGTGGCCCAATTTGTCACTCATTTTGTCTGGAACAAAATATGACCCTTTCCTCAGGCTCAGAACCTAGGACTTTTATCAAGACACTGCAATGTGTGTGCTGTACCCTGTAGACACATTGGCAATGGTAATACAACTTCACTTGTTGATAAAAGGGAACAGACTATTTTTCCTTCCAGCCTCATTTTGGTTACATTGCTTTGAATGGTAACAAAATAAGATGACTGCCCCATGATAGTGGTCTAGACTTTTAATCCCTGCTCTGTTCTATAGGTTAGTCAAGCCACCTCCTTTCTTTGCTTCTTGCTATCTCTTTATCCTCCCGTAGCATCAAAGAAATTTAAATTGATTGCCAAAATGAGATAAAACTCACTCAAATACTTTTGAGATTTGAATAAATTACAAGGAAGGCATGGTTTGATTGTACATATTGGCATTTGGTTTATGTTTACTTAATTTCTGCATAGTACCAGATGCTGGCCAACATTCATCTCTCTTGTTGGAACATTGCAAATCTACCACAGCACAAAACAATAGTTTGGGATAACAAGCCAGAGTGTACACAAGATTTTCAGTAGGCTCTAAATTATTACTTGGAGGAAATCCACTTGTTTCCCAGCAGAGCAGAATACACTTTGCACAGGTGTAAAGCTGAGGTGTCAGGTGCTGGTTGTATTCCATATGGATAACTTTCTCTCAATATCTGGTTGTTCATTCACCCAGTAGGGTTACAGAGGTCATTGCCAACATAAACACCTTCAAACCACACAGAATTGATTCAGTCTAACTACCTTTTATTCATTGTAGCCAATTCCGCGGCCAGGATCTCTTGTTCAGAGGCCATGTCACGTCCTAGGCACAATCCAAAATCTGTCATCCCTTAGAGAGACTCAGATATCATAAATGGCTCAAAGAAATCGGTCACTACACACAAAAAAATAATAATATGTATCACACTTTCTTTCCTGGTTCGCCAAGTCAACCTCCCTGAAGATTTTGGTTCTTTTCCCTTGATCATTCGCCCAGCCAAACCTTAGAAGAGAGACACCTGCAACCTTCAGTATCAAGTAACAGATACCCTCTGTCAACCCCCTTCCCAGGTCATTACCCTTTCCTTCTTCAGTGAGAAATATACACCTAATAACTGGGTAATGGAACCCTCAAAACCAAGCAGTCAACAATTTTTTAAGCCTCACCTTGTCTGGCCAGCCTACATGTACATGTAGGTATTTTGTTTTTCCCTGCCAGGTAAGCTGACTGTTTAAACAGTTTGGTCCCATCCTACCCTCCCCACCCACAATACAGATTTGAGCTACACTTTACCTTTCTAAAGCAAATATCCTTTTTCTAAATGAGCAGTTTTCTCCTGAATTGATATGTAATTAATATTTATGAATCACTTTCAATGTTAGCTTAAAAAATATGGTCCATCTGATTTTACAGCCCCAAATTCCATGTGGATGCAAAAGCTAATGTGCAGAGGGTTTTGAAAAGATCGTGGAATATTCCTCCAGTGGAGGTCAGTTCCACAGTCCTCTCTGGACATTGCTCCAGTCATTTCTGGTGCCTGGCCAACATTCCTCAGAGGAGCAATGCCAAATTTCTCTCCTAAGGTGCAAATTTGCCAATGGACAACCTCTCCGGTCATCAATCCTCAACAGAATTCCTCCAGACTGATGAGGCCCTGAATGATATCCGACCCCTAAGCCAGTATCACCCCTGCCACTTCCACTTCCTAAATCCCAGTAGCTATGTCATCTTGGTTGGGGTAGGACCACTTTCCAATTGAGGGTGAAATTGTAACTGCTCTTTAGGTTGCTGTATTTATGTCTCTCTTGCGGACCATCATGACTGATGATAGAGATTCTCCCTTTGCAGTACTGTAGAGGACAGATGAGACGCAAGTACCTGTACATTTTTTTTTCACTTGAACATGTACATGAAGCACTGATGGATATCCTCCTCGGAGACATTTCACCACCTCATCTGTGGCTTTGTTGGAGAAATCTTTCAGAAGGTTGTTTGAGCCAACAAGTCCAAGAAGGCTCTCTCTGGAGATCATCTGAGATGGTCTTGTTCAAGGCATTTAAATGTTGGTCCAGTTTGCTACAAGAAGACCATTATTGCTGACTTGGTATTCGTAATGAAGTAGAGAAACCATGAATTGGAGAGTAAAAATGTTCTTTATTGTTTTCAATTAATATTTATTATCTTACAATGTTTAATGACAGGAAATTGACTTTGAGTGATCTGGAGTGATTACTGTCATGGTAATTCATGTCTATCATCATTGTTCTCTTTAACGTTGTCAACATCAGCCTTTGTTGCTCCCACATGAGCAGTACGACAACCAGTGTGATAACTATCGTAGTGGCACAGTCATGACCACCTTTACTTCATTACTACACCCCTCTCACCATCATGACCCTTTGGGATTTGCAGTGCCAAGTTCATTCACACTGTCTTTTTGACAGCATCTATCATATCTTTGCTTCTCATTTTGTTTTGAACAAAGTAAGAAAAATGACACCGATTGGGTGTAGTCTCACAGAAAGTGAATTGAACTGAATTGACAGAATGCTGATAAAAAAAATGGAGCAACTGTTGTTGCTGGAGGAGAATGTTTGATATCAGCTCCAGACAGTGATAAATCATGTTTACGCCTTACTCACAGGGTCTGACTCAGCTTTTAGCTTCCCCACTTCTGAGATCAACAAGAGTTGGCCAACCCCCCCATCCCCTTGGTAGCAAAGCAACAAGGTGTCTTTTTGTTAACTAGAATCATGGAAATCACAGAGGTCTGTGTACATTTGTTAGATCCTTCAATATGTGATTGGTAACCCCTAAAAAGTTCACAGTTTGTTGGCAGTTGGTTAGCTTTTGATTATTGGTGCTAATCCAAAGCACAGACATACAAATCCACCTTGAATATCTGGTAACTTGTGTTTGTACATTGTTGTAATATCAGGCTAATCTGTGAGTCACTTCTGAGAGTTGACAACAGGGACACACTTTCCTTACCTCTGTCGTCACATGGGGAAATTTAAAGGACCAGGGGCACGCCATCTGCACGTGGTTGGATGAAAGGCCCTCATTTTTGGTTGAGCAGAGGCTTACTGCTTTTTGTCATAGTATAAGACAATACAAAACTCCTTTCTTCATTTCGAAATTTCTTAGTGGGGGAGGGGCATCAGTGTAGGCAGAGGTCTTGTATTAATTATGGGATGTTTTGTTGTTGCCTGATAATGATAACTGCTAGCAAAGGATGTTCAGTTTTAATTGATTTTACACTTACGTATTTGCAGTTTGAAATGAGCAGTTGATGATTTTCCCTCACATTCTTGAATTTTTAGAGATTGCAATGACACAGTGAAACCACTGTTAACCAATTTTAATGTCAGTAACATATTTTGCTTTTCATGTAAATGAAAGGGAAATGATATAACCAAACACACAGCTGGTCTGTCTTGCTTTTAACTGACATCATGTTTGTGTTCTTTGTGTAATCCAAATCATCCTCTGTTGCCATCGGCAACAAACTTTCTCATCACAACTTGGAAAGAAGGAAGAAGGTGGTATGACTTAATACATAACTGCTGTGTTTTCACCTTGAGTGTTGGTGCTGAAAGCATTAATTTCCTCCAATGTGGGGATGGGGGATTAAGGGGAATTACTTGAGTAATGAACTGTTACCTGAAAGACAACTTTAATTAACCTATATTTGTAAGTGGTTGGTTGATTGACATGAGAGAAATTCAAATAGCAAATGTCTACCTGCCATATTTTTGTGGAAAACTTTTCAACACATATTTGAGCACAAATCATGTACAGGCAGTTGCATTTATTCCCTTTCCTTTGTAAGAAAAATAAACATTTTGTTTTTTAATTTGGTAATTCAGCCAAACATTTTGTTTTGTCCAAATTTGACTTTCATATTTGGCAATTCAAGTAAGGAGTAGGGAGAAAGAAATGAAGGTTGCCGCAGATTTTTAGTCAAAATGTGACTTTTGGGGGGGGCTTTTTTCAGATTCCTGAACTGAGAGATGACATCTGTATCCCTGACTACTGCTGTCTCCATGACAACAAGGAGGATGCAGAAAGAGAACACAATCCATCCTCTCAGTTCAACCAAGATAGGGATAGTGACTGTGATGATGTGGACAGCAACGTTGATATCAATGCCTGGTTTGGTCCAGCTGGTACGGTCTCACCACTCCACACCGACCCTAAGCACAACTGCTTGGCACAGGTTGTTGGAGAGAAGTTTATTCGTCTGTACAGTGAAGAAATGACACCTTGTCTCTATCCCCATGGGGATCGGCTCCTTCACAACACCAGTCAGGTAAGATCATTACTGGAATCAGGTCCTCAAACCTTTTGCCCATGTCCTCTGTGTCACTCACTCAAAAATTGTTTTGTTCTCTTTTGATTTTCAAAAAGTAAAAGTATCTTCTACATCTTTACTAGAACTTTTGAAAATTTTAGGATGTTTTTATATTTAAAAAAAGCTAAATAAAAACTACCTATTGCTCCTACTAAAACATACCCATCAGACGTTAATAACAGTCTACTTTTAATGTCTGACACACAGAAAGTTTTCAAGAATTTGACATTTCAAAAATGAAACTTCAGGTATATTTTGACAATAACCAAGACATCATAAACACTGCCAGGCTTTCCTGCCCAGCCTTTTATTACTTCGTGACCCTTTTAGTAAATCTTTCACAATTTCCCCTAAGGGCGTGGAGAATGTCATTCGACATAAACCCAAATTAATGGAAGCATTGCTGAATTCTGCAAAATGCAGAATCTTTTACTGTCATCTCCCAGGGACACATCTGGGTGATAAACTTCAAACTTTCCCTTAATTTTATTATGATATCTTGACACTTGAACTGAATGGTGAATTGAATACAAAGTAAAATTTAATTGGACAAGAGCAATTGTGCATGGTTGACCACTGAGAATAATTATTCTGTCGGTCATGACAAATACCAGACCAAGGAGTGGAAAAACTAAAGCAGGCAAAGTTGTGGACACTGAAATGAAATTGACCATTGACTCATTGCCTAGTTGTGCCTGTAGGGGGGGGGTTGCAGAAGCTGTTGTCTTTTCCGTTATTTATCTCTAGTGGAAATAAAAGGCTGGTGTAGGTGATCTCACGTCCACGAGTTCCAAGTAAACTGTAAACTGTCATTTGTTTTTAATCTGAAAGTTTAGTTTGATATTTTTTTTCCTGTGGTGCATTACTATTGAAGGGGAAAACACTTCATCTCTTATTTTACAATCAGAAACTGGGCCCAAATGTTCCAGAGTTTAGCTTCTTTCATTACGTTTCCTTCATGAACCACAGCAAGATCAGGTCCTGCCAATTCTTATCTCTCCTGGCACTGAATAACCCTTGCGGCAATATTTTGAACTTTTGTGACCTTTTTTTGAGTCTCCAATGATGGATGTCCTTTTGTGGTTCCCAAGGAAATCGCTGCAGCTTAAGTTGATCAGTGCCAGTCATCTCATCTCCGTCCATTGATCAAACTTCAACCTCAAAGAATAATCACATGTCCGCGCAAATTAGGGCTTCTTCTGACTGACAAGGCTACAATGTTATCAATTCCATTGTCAGAGGCCTTCATGATTCACTTCTTGTCTTTGTAGTTTCCTACAATTAGACTTACTGTACCAATTGTTTGGAGAACATTGAATTTAAAGAGCACCAAAAAACGAACAAGGGGCAGTTTTGGACTCCCCTTTGTGATATTTCACCACTCTAGGGAGAATTATTGATAGCAGTAAGATTGAATTGCTTTGTTTATCTCGGGATACTCATTCTCAGATTTGTAAGACTCAGTGACTCAGATCCTGGTATAATTTGAGCCACATCTTTGCTTTGTGGTTTTCTCTGAACGCTGCATGGAAGCTTAATAGAACTGACTAATTGACTGGTCCTTGTCAAACTTTACTTCCCCTTCTGCCATCTACCATCACCTTAATTTAGACTCGGGTGAACAGCTATGGTCTTGTCTCAAGTTGTCTGGCCTCTTGTCCACACCCCCCCCCACCAGTACTTGGCAATCCAGTTTGACTCATTTGCCCAAATGTGTCGTGGAGATGAAAAATGAATGAATAATATGTGAGCAAGTAGCAAATCTCACGACAGATATCCATAGTTATCAACACTGTTAAAATATGTCTGTTAAATAACAGTAGATTCTATTGTCAATTGGCATTACAGAAGTTGCTGTTTCTGGACAGCATATTCTACTGTCCATTTTCTTTGTATACTAACAGGGGATTCTTATGGAAGTGTATTAGGACACGGTAAGGAAAAAAAATCAATGCGTACGTACGGATTACTGTTTAGTACGTAGGGATTACTATTTAGTACGTAGGGATTACTATTTAGTACGGATGGATTACTATTTAGTACGTAGGGATTACTATTTAGTACGTAGGGATTACTATTTAGTGCGGAGGGATTACTATTTAGTACGGAGGGATTACTATTTAGTACGGAGGGATTACTATTTAGTACGGAGGGATTACTATTTAGTACGGAGGGATTACTATTTAGTACGGAGGGATTACTATTTAGTACGGAGGGATTACTATTTAGTACGGAGGGATTACTATTTAGTACGGAGGGATTACTATTTAGTACGGAGGGATTACTATTTCGTATGGGATTACTCCTTCGTATGTGTGGATTACTACTTTGTACGTACGGTTCTGTAATTACCGGTAATGATCCTAGGCATTGGTCGCATTCGAAATTCTGCCTTGAGCAGAAGGGTCCCCTGCGTGCTGGTGGGGCTGTGTTGTTTTGTTGGTACTTGGTAGAGCCGGAGGCGTACACAGCTCACTTTCATTCGGGAACCAGCAAAGTGGAGTTCCGACCAAAGGAGCCTCTGTTGCTAGGAGATCGCACCCTCTCTTGGTCCCACTTGGGCCCAATGAACTGAAGTTTAGTCATGCAGTGCTACATGTGGATTACTCAAGTAATCTAGCCATTCGTACAAAATATTAATCCATACATACAAGTTAATTGTTTGCTTACCATTTCCTAAATATACTTCCTTAAGAATCCCCTGTTAGTATACAGAGAAAATGGACAGTAGAATATGCTGTCCCAAAACAGCAACTTCTGTAATGCCAATTGACAATAGAATCTACTGTTGTTTAACAGCAATATTGTAACAGTGTAGGTTTGTGGTCATTTCATTTTAGTTTCCAACCTGATGCAGTGTTGCAATATTTATCCCTCAGATCTTTGTTTCAAACTATTTGACGGCACAGTGGACCATAAACGGAACTTTCCTCGGTCTTTCTAACATTCGTAGAATTGTTATCATAAATAATATCTGTGTTCAGGCAGCTTAGCTACTTCCTAAATACTGGCTGGTTTTCCATATTCCTGTTGTTTTGCTGTCCTGTGGAAATGTCAAAGTATGCACCTCGGGAAAGTAAATCAGACACTGTGGTGATACTACAAATTGTGTAAACCTTGCCGATTCCTGGTACAGTTGGATTCCGGAAGTTATCTTAACAAATACTTTTAAAATTGGAACATTGGTACTGATGCAGTTTCCGGGTTTTCTAACTGTAAAATTGAACAATATTGACCAGGCTTTTCCCAGTCTGGGTGTAGTCCCTCAACTATGTGCATGTTAGGATTGCAAAGTGGTGAACAGTACTGTTGTGAAAGTGGGGCACTTTTTTTATGAAGGTAAAATTGAATGTGCCTTCATAATATTGTGATATGACCTTGTTTGAAGTTGAAAGATGTCGTGTACCCCTTTTTTCTCTTCACACTGTCCGACAGTACTCAGCTTCCTTTCAACTCTGCCTCAAGTGCAGAAAGAAAAAATAAAAGTGGCACGACATGTTCATTACCAACAGCAAGTTCGTGAAAATATGTTGATAAAATAAACACACCGTTAGCCTTTTGATCATGCGATAAACCCGGCTTATTTATGAGCATAGTGTTACTGTGTTACATCTTGCCGTCTTACGTCGTCATACCCTGTAAATATCTTCACGTGAGGTTTTCTTTTTTCCTCTTGGCAAAACAACTCTGATTTTGCTTATCGACAAATCTGGAACAAATCAGTACAATTTGATTTGAAACCAGAGAATTTGACCACATTGAAATGCATCAAAGAAGGTATTGGTTGATGCCCTCAGGCAATCTATGTCCTAAGTCAGTAAGTTGAAGGATTATGAGAAATTGACTCTATTGCTGGCGGACATTTGTATTTCACTGACTCTACTACACATAATAACTGCACCTGGTATAATGGATTGGTTATTGTTCATGGGGCGAGAACAGGTTCAAAACAGGAGTGTGTGGGGGGGTGTGTATGACCTGACGTGATTAGCCTTTTGAAATTCCTAAATGCCAACAGCAACTCCACTGAATATCCTGGTCTTTTGTCTGACACACTCAAAACATGCATATTGTTGAGTGTTTACAGTGCATTTATACCTTTCTGTATCTGTTAGATTTACCAAGCGGTGGTTTCTATCACACAGACAAAAGAAGTCTTTCCACTCTTTTGTATTTTTTTGATACTTTTTATCAAGAAAACCAATCCCAGAGCCTATGCAGGACTTTATGGAGAAATGAGCCTAAGACTTACTGGATGCTTTGCAGAGAGGATTCAAATGGAAATATGTAATCTCGGCTGGAATGGAACCAGCTTACTACATGAAAAACACATGGAAAGAACCACCAACATGGTTAGCCAGCCATGTTGCCTTTGATATCTTGTATCACCAGGATGATATTGTCTCATTGCAGTCTCCTCAATCCTTCAGAACCTGTGACTTCCAGAACACCCTGTCAAGGTTCTGATGCTCAGGTGTTACAGATGTTGCATGATCAAATCCTGATCCAATCCATTTTCTTTGTTCATCTTCTAATTGATTGTGTAAGCACAAAGTTAGTTTCCCTCTCAGGTTTATAATGATCCAGCTTTTTAGTCTTGAGTTATTCTATAACTTAGAATGTCACATCAGACATTTGATTTTGTAAGTTCAGAACACATTCTCTTATATCCAAGAGTGATGAATTAATTCAAATTACCTGCCAAACAAATGGAAGTAGTTTGAAATCAATTTCAGTGATATTTCCATGTCAAATTAAACAGGTCATGTGTAACAGGGAGACAAAAATGTCACTCTTTTAGACCCCAAATTTAAAGAAAGACCCACTTCAGTTTGATGAATTAAGCTGTCTGAGTTTCTCCACACAAAAATCAAATAAGTTTGAAGTATTTTTAGTTCGTTCAAACAGCACCCATTTGAAACAAATTGATGAACTTGTGATAAAGCTGAAGATGAAAGACAGCTGAGATTTGGAAAAAAGCCCAGGAAAGGAAGTTGCTTCACAGAGTCTTATAAGATGAGCTGGGTCTTAATCCAATAGATCGTATACTAACATTCAGAAAAAAAAAGATGATTGGGACTGGGAACTAGTCTAGAATCAAGACCACTTTAGTCACTTGCTGGTCAAAGGTTATGCGTTATCATGATTAATATTCATGGCGCACCTGGGGGGGGGAGAGGGAATACGCCCCCATTGAATCTGTCTCAACTTGCGGGGAGGGGATACCCAATCATGTAGAGTATAACTCTGCCTGCTTGTTTATGTAGCTTTTTTTCTAAATGCCTCCCAATTTACAAATCCTGTTCTTGAAAACTTACATTATGATAGCTGGGTGTGTTATAGGAAAGTGATTTTGATAATTGTCCATTCTGCAGGTTATGATTACCAGAAGATATGAGGCTGATTCAACAAGCTTTGAAGACTTGTTTTGTTGGAACAGGTCAAACGCACGTCTTTTGTCATAGTGGGACCATTTTTTAAAATGGAAACAGACAGTTGTTGTAGACGCTCGGCCAATTTCCTGACGAACAAATCAAAACAAGTCCAAGCAAATTAGACTTGTTCCTCCAAAGCAAATGAAAACGGTCGATCTCAGGAAGTGCTGTAATGAAGACCACAAATGTCAGTATTATTTATTGAAGGGCTTATTTAAACATGGATGCTTGAAGTGAATGTGGCATTCAATTTATCTGCATGCTTAATGGGTATTCTTCTCTTGACATTTAATGCTTATTTATAAACATATGAATATGACAATATATTTTCTGGTAATATTATGGCAAAGAAACACTAATTGGAGTATTTCCAACTATTAAGGGCAACCCTATGGATCCTGGAGCTGGACCGTGAGAGGGTGCTATTTTCTTAGCAATGGAGGCTCCTTTGGTCGGAACTGAACTTTGCTTCTTTGGAACGACTAGGAAATGCACGTTACAGTCGCATTGCTACCAAAAATTTGAACACTTCTTCTCTTTTCAACCAATGAGGGGGTGCTTCTGCTCGAGGCAGATACAGATTTACAACATACATTACAATTCATATAAAGCTGCATCTCAGTAACCAAGCTATACAGTTTAAACAAATTCAGGTAGTTGCCAGGGTAACCGCTTGAGTGTGAGAACATCACCACAAGCAACTTTTTTCCCTCAATACTTAATCCAGTGCAGAAGATGCACGGTCAGATGTTAAGCGTCAACTAATCCCACCCTACGTCTCAAATTTGAAAGTTAAAATTCATCTACCAGTTTGATGAAACCCCAATTGAAACCTTTGTTAGACTCGGTTTCCTCTTTGTTGATTATTTGGACAAAATAACTACGAGTGCCTTTTGGCATTTCTGCCTGGGAACTCAACTCTGTCTTTGATTTCACAGGAACGGATCAGAGCTTGTCAATGAGGTTAACACGGGTTTCTGTCAGGAAGCTTTCAAGGAGGTCTCGCTTGACGAATTCTCATTGTTGCACATGATAAATTACAGCTAGTTCTTTACCCACCCGTTCAAGCTCTCACAGAATTCTAGGACAATATCTTTTCACGCATTTAGTTTTGTAGGGAATTATATGTGAGAAAAATTACAAAGCATTTCTGTTTGATGCTTTTTCCCTTCACAGAAACCTGGTCTTTGACCAACAGTGCGAACAGAAAGAGTTGTATTTCGCAAATCACTATTCTCAAGTTTTTTTCAAGGAGAGAGGGATCTTTTGTGCTTTTGTACTTTTCAAGAAGTTCTCTTATTCATCTGGACCTGTTTGAGTCCCAGTTACAATCACTGGTGCAGAGAAGCCGCTCCACCAACCTCACACCAAACTAATTAGATTTTATTTTTGCTGTCTATTTCTTTCACAAACTGGGCTTCCTCTTCCACCACCAGGTTTGTTTGTGCCTCTAATTGAGAATTAATTCAGAGGTAGCTTAATCTCATTTTCAAGGCAGAATCAACACTTTACCTTGAAATGAAAGAACTGGAATTCCATGTTGAAGTAAGAGTGCAAACAAAGACTCTGCAGAAAATCACTGCAGTATGAAGCACTGTCCCTGAGGTCAGGTGTCATTCCCTTGAGGTCATTTGCACTTCTGTGGTTTTGTACCCAGGGTTTCACTAGTGGCTCCCTGTCCATGGGATCTTTTTTGGAGTTCATGTTTACTTACAAAGTGGTGAAGCCACAGCCTTGACTGTTGGTCCAGTCAGAGTGTAAATTGAGTTTATAGTTGGTTGGAAAACTTTATTCCCCAAAAGGTGTCTTCCATAAAGGTGACTGAAAGACCCCCCCCCGAAGCTCAACTGCATTTTTGTTTTAGCTATTAGTTTTGTATGGGTATTGGACCGTTAAGATGTATTTAGACACTTAGAAATCTTTTTGTATGCAATATTTCCAGTCTCAACAAAATGAGAAAAAAAATACTTCCAAGAGTCTAGAGTGCACTGCAGCAGTTACATTACCAAAGAAACTAATAATCTTCACATTTTCAACACTAGAGGAAGTAGTGAAGCACAGAGGTCATAGCTCATACATATGCATCGCTGCCTCATTAGAAATAGTCATTTTTGCAACAAAATATCTCCATTTGTCAAAACCCCTTTTCCTTCCAGGTTGATGTTGAGAACCCAGACTTGTCTTGCTTCCCCCTCTTTTCCTCCGCTGACTACCAAGAGGCCATTCTCAAGGCTGGAGAGATGCTGTACATTCCTCCGAGATGCTGGCACTATGTCCGATCCCTCACCACTAGCTTCTCTGTGAGCTTCTGGTGGGTGTAGCTCATGCACCAGGGAGGGCCTCAGACAAGACAGTCATCCCCGTCATGGTGACAAGGTAAGAATTTCCTCTGGATAAAGTCTTTTGTCTAATACTTTAACGTTCAGAGCTAGTGTGCTGTCTCGAAGTGTCGTATGATTTGCTTGCTGCTGTGAGGAATGAATAAATTCATATATGTTGATGACACTTCACTTGTTTCTTGTAGGACATTTTCAACTTCTCAAAGGGATTTTGGCACCAGTTCTCAGCTAAACTGCACCATACTTTAAAATCACCCCACACATGTCTTTGGCCAAATCCTGAACCCCCCCCCCAAAAAAAGTATTTTTAAAATTTACACCCTCTCATGATTTGATTGTAGGTGAATGGGAGACCTCATTTATCATTTAAAAAATACATGGTGAGAAGTTACTTTCCTTATTGTATTTCCTGCTGTATAATACAAAAAAATTGCTGGAGTCAAGATTTAAAATTAATAATCTTACAATGACATTCCTGGAAATACTGTGTGGAGACTGACCAGTAGCCAGACAAACTTGTCAATCTTTCTTGGTCAATACACTGACCCTGTGGTCAACCAGTGATCCCTAGGGTCAACTCAGAGGGACCATCAAGTGGGTAAATATTGACCTAGACCAAAGCCCTCCTACAAAACCACAATATTGTCCTCCATCAAGGGATTTCCCTTCCAGTTGCTCCAACTCTTCACCCTGTCCAACAAATTGTTCCCAATCCCAGTTGGGTTGTCTTTGTACCTTTAATATCTGTACTGTAATTCTAGGATTTCATGAATGGAAACCTTTTCCAATTTGTGTATGGGTGTGTGAAATGCTAGCCATATTTTTGAATGATTCTACACCTGATTTTGATAATAAAATCAGGCCCCCTTTTTTCCTAGGGCATGTTGTTATAGCATGACTCCATAAAAAAATTGTATTTGTTGTCAACGAAGACTTTCGAGTATCTGATGTTATTTGTTAAATATTTAATATGAAGTTTTGAAATGGTTTTGGTCCAACAAAAGAGAGGTGTTGACTTATAGGAAGCAATCTGTGCAAGTTGTATTCCAGAGCTCTGTTGTTGGAATTCCAGGTTTATTGAAATGTTTTTTATTCTGCCAACTTGAAATTCTCACTAATAAAACATTTTCAACCAGTCACTCAACCCTGCCAAGCTCGGTAAGGCATTTGCGCCCATGAGCAGAAGAAATTCAAGATTAAAACTTTCAGAAATTCAACATTCAATATTCAAGACCCATAAACATATTTTTTGTTACCTATGGCCCATGGCACTGCCAGGGAGTAGTGTATGATGGGAGTGTCTTCTTTGGGTGTTTGTCACCCATTGAGGGGTCAAATGGGTCAGGCCTTGAAGCCCAGTAGTCACACTGCACCTCCATGTACTGACAGGGCAGATTCTTCCTCAACTGCTGGCTTGGTTTCCCTGGGGTCACACCTTGATCTATTCAGATACCAAAGTCACAGGGAAACTCACTCCTAGTATAAACACTAAATAAACATGGAAGATGGAGGCATAAAATGTCCTGTGGTAATGGAGCACACTGTTAAGAGCAGGATTGAATCTGAATGGAGAGTTTTAGAAAATACATCATAGTAGCAGGGTTTGGAAGTAGTTTGGGTGTCGAAGATTTTGTAAACATTAGTCTCAACATTTCCTGCATACATCTGACTCTCATAGTGATGCAGCATATGGGGAAGTAGATTTGTTAAGTGCTCCTGTTGCACCTGTGCTCAGAATTCCCCCTTTTCTGTGTTCTGCAGTTTAGCTCCACCCATTATTGCTCCCAAAACAGCTTTTCTTTGCCGTTGCGTCTCTGCTCTATTTACCTCTGTTAACAACCAGTCTCCGCTTCACCAAGCTCCACTTTCCTGTTTTTCCCCCTTCCCTCCATCAAATAACACTGCTCCCCTCCTGCAAACTGTCTTATAAAATCCTAATCTCACAGAGTTTCTAGTTCCGTAGCTTTGACCAGTCTGCTTTAGGGCTCCAGAGTACATGAAAGTCTAGTTTCCTTCTCTCTGCATCTTGCTAAACTGACCGAGAAACTGCCAGGGTAGGTCTCTTATCAGATTGTTACAGTCCTGGCAGGATGAAAGGGGTCGCATCTAACTAGGGACATGTCCCCCCTGGGAGACAGTTCAGTTGGTTGACCTACTTTTCACTCTCCAGAGTCTTCTCAGAATTGTTCCTTTGCAATTAGTTTCAATCTTTTTAACAGTTATGAAAGGTTTCAGTTCAGACCTCATAATTCACACCTTTTCTTACATGTACATGCACTTATGGTTAGTTCGGGATGAAACACTCTGTCCCCTGTCGGTAAATGTTGATCTCAAAACTGAAAACAATACTTCAGATTTTTCCTGTAATATCACAAGATGCTGTAGAAGCTGGAAATCTTTGAGTACTAAATTAAAAGAAATGAAGGTTTCTTCGTTTCAACAAAGACAAAGTCAGACATATTTTCATAACTTTGATGTCAGAAGTCTCTCAATCCTTCCAAAGGTATGTTCCAAATTCATCTTCTAGTTGTGTTTCATCTCCGACCTAAGGGCCAAACCAACAGCCCAGTTTACATGCTCTGATGGAATTTTCTTTTGCTTAAGGCTTTCTAGAAACTTAGGAACCCTCCCGGAAGTTTTGATGTTGGAGATGTCTGCACTTTGTCCCAAGAGAAACAGTGTGTCTCAGTTTAGCCATGCAGGTCTTTAACCTGGAGAATTTCTCTTGTCGGTGTTAAATTTTTTTTTTTTTTTACTAAGTGCTGATATGGAGCTCAAACCTAATCCCCAGGCTAAGTACTTGGGAAAAAAGTGACGATGAAAAATTAAAATTACATGAATGTTAGGACTTAGTCACTGCAACAGTAAAATTGCATTCTAAAGGAGAGCCTAGAATTCTCCCATTAAACAGCTATTCACCAATAACGAGGGAAACTTTTCCAGACTTCCAAAGCAAAGGCTTCACTGTGCAGAAAAATGGGCAGGGGTGTAGGTTAATAGGTGCCTAACTCAGTGCAAAGAAATAACCCAAGGCGAGTCTGGAACCAAAGTGAACCCTACAAACCTAGGACTGAGAGCAAGTAATGGCTTCCCAAAGCACCATTGTTCCAAATAGCCCGTACTCAGTGTTGCTAACCCACTAATCATATGTGCTTGTTTCACTGCTCATTGGCAATGCCTGGACTAATGTGGCTGTTGTTACAAGGCTAATACATGTGAATACTGAACCTTAAACTGTGTTGAAGCCTCCAACTTTTGTAGGATTCAGGACTTTCAAAGTTTACTGTGTTTGCTACTTCCCACTCCATTCTAATCCCATCATCTCCCATCAAAATATTGATATAGTTAGATTCCCCTGTTAACACCACCCTCACAGCCCCCTGGTCCTAAAAACCACCTTCTTGGAAGCATGGAGGAAGGAAAACAGATCTTCCCCATCAAAATGACGTCTTTTGTGTGCTTCCATAGCCAGAAGCTTGAAACAACTTGGAGAACAAGCAAGGCTTGTGTGAAGAGCCTTCGTGTATCCCATGAGTCCCTGGGCTGTCCCCTGAACACTTCCAATAACTTACTGAGGCAGGGTTAATCCTGTCTTTCTTGTAGGATATGGCAGTTTGTTCACAAGTTTTCACTAGGTTGGCATGGTAAACTGACGTCATGACAACGCAAACAAAGCCACCATGTTTCCATTTCCTATTTTTGTTGGAAAGCATCAAGCATGCAGTCAGTGACCTGCAAATTTGTTTCTAGACTCGGTGTCTTTGATTGATGCATGCATTTGTTAGTCTTCCTGAAAATCCCTGAGCTTGTTTTGTCGGAGAAGACCAAGTCGTGAAATGTTTCACCGCACTCAATGCCATTTATAGAATTTTTGTAGCTCTCATCTGGAGTTAGTGTCAAGTCTAATTTATAAGTGTTTGTTTGCATTTAGTCTGGTGCCGTAGCTGTTGAACACAATATACACAAGAACAGGATGTGTACGTTTGTATAAGTCACCATGTACCTTGGATATAAAAGAACAAACATCTACAGTGAAGGGGGGAAGATATTTCCCTTGCTTGAGAATAAATCTTCAAGATGTCGTTCAAGTTCCCAAAACCTGACGTGTGTATGTTTGTGTGGCTTTGAGTTAATCTCTTGGCAAGATTTAGGTCTAGGTCTTCAGTGGCTGTCAGACCCATGCCATCAGTGGACATAGACTTGGCTTATAGAGCCTTGTTTCAGATATGAGCTTGCATCCAAAATTCTAGGTGTTGATCTGGTCAGTTAAAAATAGCAGATCAGGAAATTAATTAGTGGGACCCCTAGTGACCCCTTGTGCTTCGTCATTCATATATGGCGATTCCATCTTACAGATGGCATCCTAAGATGGTTAAATCTAGTGACAAACATAACCCCTCATGTCCCCAAATTTCATCTTTTCACTACCCCCCTCCAGGCTCTGAGGCACTGCTTTATTTGGTTCACATTTCTGACAGATTTACTTTCCTGTATTTATTGCATTGTAGCTGCAGTTGCCTTAAAATACACAGTTTGTAATTTCCTATAAATTCTAGTCGTTGAAATGCAAGTGGAAATTGCCATTGACCTCAAGGTCGTGATTTCAACAAATATCACTACTCTTGCTATCTTGGCCTCTAACTGTGCAGCTTTTGGCATTGTGTGTGGCCCTCAGTCTCATACATCTTTTGAGCTTGTCCTTTTAGATCTCAATCTTTGTCTTACCTTAGTATTTGTGCTTTCTCATAGTCAGTTCCTGAGTTGACTTATCCAGTTTTGACCTCCTTGCATGTCTCACAGGTTTCCATTATTTGCCCCAAATGGGTTCAGCGGCACCCGACCTTTCAAAGCTGCCACTTTCTGACACTGAATCAGAGTAAATTGGCTGTTCCGTTCAAAATATTGCCACTCACATCAACCCTGCTAAGAGCAGTTTGTTCCTTGTGGGTCAACAATGAAGTCGTTCAACTTATTATAGCTCTTCTCCTGATCCATATATTGTTGTCATTATTCTCCATTGAGCTTTTTCAAAACAAA